TTCCATGCTCACCTGCCTCTGCCTTTAAGGTATGTTTTTATCGACTTCAGAGAGGGAGAGGGAGGGGAAGTTGACACTAACCACTGAGCGGCCCGGCCTTTGCCTTTTGAAGCTTTCCCGCTGTCCCCGACTCACAGGGCGCGGCCCCAGGTGTCCCGTGCGAGGGGTTATCACGCTTACCCACGTCACTCACCTCAAGGCGCTGGCCAGCTTGCAGTAGAGACAGAGGAAGCAGCACATGAGGAAAAATGAGGCGATCAATAAGCCGCCACCGATGGCAATCATGACCTCCACGTCCACCTTGTCGGCCATGCCCTCAAAGTCGAACATGTTTCTGGGCAGAGACGTGCAGGGCAGTGACTGTGGGCCCCCTCATCTACCCCCCTCCCCCAGCCAGACACAGCCCCAGGCTGCTTCATGGAGGAAGCATGAACCCCACCCACAGGCCTACGCCTGTGAAACACGGACGGTCTCCCAGGGAGGCCCAGGGCCTCAGCCACACGGGGGGAAAGGGTTTATTCGCGGATGAAAAGGGACTGAAATGCAGTCAGAAGGAAGGAAATCAGGACAGATGGTGGGAATGGCTTTCTCTCCCTCTCGTGAGCAGTAACGTGCAGGTAGCAGCGAGTAACAGGCCGCACGTGAGCAAATAGCGTCACTCCCAAATCCTGAAATGTGCTCCTTTTCAGAGTCAGAGGTGACCCCTCACTGTGCATCAGGCTTAAACATCCGTGGGAATAAGCAAGGGAATGTCTTTTTCCAAAAAGCTATGTTGTGCACTGCTGAGAATACGGAAACCTACTTTGTAAATAATACAGATTATAGAGGAAAAGATTTCAATCCCCCCACTGGCACCTCGTCATGCCACCTCAGCGTTTAAGGCAGGGGTGGGCAAACTTTCTGACTCGAGGGCCACAGTGGGTTCTTAAACTGGACTCAGAAGGAGCTGCGGCCGTGTTTCCGACGTTGCCATGTTAACACTGCTGCTGGTGAAGGGGCGGAGGGGAGAGCAAGAGAACCCTCCGCTCTTTCGGCTCCGCAGGCCGGATCCGGCCCGTGGGCCGTAGTTTGCCCACGGCTGGTTTAAGGAGATTCTAGAAGCTTCTAGCCAAACCCTCCCCCAGGCTCAGGGACGGCAAGTGTCCTGCACAGACCAGGAGCCAGTTTTTCCAGGAGCCCTTTCCCTCGCTGTGTAGGGCACACAGCTTCCTCTGCCACTTTTCCTCCTAAATCCAACTGATTTCCTCAAAATCCAATTTACCTGGAACACGCGCTCTGGGTAATCAAACACTCTGAGCCCGGAAGCCAGTCCACGCAGAGTCTGGGCAGCGCTGGGGCGAAAGGCACCCCCAGAGACAAGCAGACCACCCGACTGGTAGGCACAGGTCCCTGCGTCCAGCCGTCCGGACCCGCATGAGGCCAACTGCACGGGACAGCGAGAAAGGACACGTTAACTACAGAACAGGGCCCTCGGTAGAGCCGCCTCCCACCTGATCCCGGGCAGGGATCTGACGGCCGGCACCGGCCCAGCTGTCGCACGTGCTTCGACCTGACTCTCAGGAGCGGTCCTCGGCCAGAGCACTCGACTCCACGGGCCCCACCTGACTCAGTCAGACCCCTCAGGACACAGGCTGTGTGACATCAGCTCAGGAGCCGCTCTCCGGCCCAGGGTTCTCAGTTCTGTTCCGCGGTCAGAGTTCCAGCCCCCAGCAGACAGAACATCTAGGTAACGCTTTGAATAATTACGTCCTAAGACTTGCACCTTTTCGGGTGTCTGTTTCCCCGGAGAAAACATTTATGGTTTGTCTTCTAATTGAAACATAGTTTGAGATTTCAATTTAATAAAAAGGAAAGAACACCAGTGAAGTGGGAAATGAGCAACGCCCTCACACCCAAGAAGGTGCTGTTTCAGCCACACTACACAGTGACAGTGTGCAGCCATCTGTGTTTCTCCCTCACACTGATCCTTCTCTCTCCCCTTCCTCTCTCTCTCTAAAATCAATAAAAATTAAAAATAAAAACAGCCCAGCAGGTGTGGCTCAGTGCTTGAGTGTCAACCTATGAACCAGGAGGACATGGTTCAATTCCAGGTCAGGGCACATGCCTGGGTGGCATGTTTGATCCCCAGTAGGGAGCGTGCTGGAAGCAGCCAATCCATGATTCTCATCACTGATGGTTTCTCTCCCTCTCTGAAAATCAATTAAATAGACACACACACACACATACTAGAGGCCCAGTGCACAAAAATTCATGCACTGGGTGGGGGGCAGGGTCCCTCAGCCTGGCCTACGCTCTCTCGCAGTCCGGGAGCCCTTGGGGGATGTCCACCTGCCAGCGTAGGCCCATTCTTTGGGGGATCGACCCATGCTGGCAGTCAGACATCCCTCTGGCAGCCTGGGGACCCTTGGGGATGTCCAACTGATGGGCCTAAGCCACAGTTGGACAGCCTTAGCGCTGCCGCGGAGGTGGGAGAGGCTCCCACCACTGCCACTGGGCTCACAGATATCAGCCCGGCTTGTGGCTGATTGGAGCTGCCTCTGTGGGAGTGCACTGACCATCAGAGGGCAGCTCCTGCATTGAGCATCTGCCTCCTGGTGGTCAGTGCACATCATAGTGACCGGTTGTTCCTGGTCATTCCAAGTTAGGGTCAATTTGCATATTACCCTTATATTATATAGGATATCCATCTTCAGGTGAGGATTAGAAAAAAATCCCTGAACTCGTAGAACAGACCCCATGTTGCCATTACCTGGGATGATAAACACCGATCTTCATGAACACAAGAAAATGCATGTGCTGTTCCATTGAGCTTAAATAAAGTAGAGAATACGTGACATGTAAAACTACACACAGGTACTTCTCTATGTATGTACACAACTCATCCATCCGCAAGGATGTTCACGAAGACGTTGCCATCTGAGTCACAGGCATCCCCTTTATTCTTGGCACTTCCAAAAGCTACACTATACTGACTAGGTATTCCTTTTAGAGAGAGAAACAAAATCAGTAAGAAAACATTGATAAACTAAAATTTCCCCTCCCCCAAAAGGACCCAGACTCCGGGGGTGTGAAGTGCAGCACAGGGAATGTGTATGGTGCCAGGTGGGGAATCACTTTGTAAATTATATGTCTGACCACTATGCTGTACACCAGAAACGAATATAGTATTGAATGTCAACTGAATTGGCAAATCAAAAATAAAATAAAAGGTAAAAAAGTTAAAAAGCAATTTCCACTCTGAAAAAAATAGACCCTAACTATGAGCAAATGCATGGTCCTGGGGGCTCACTGCAGGCGCAGTTCTGAGGCGGGTTGCGGGTTTTGTGCCTGCACCCCCAGGCCCCATGGACACTGTCATCTGCCCCACCCCCACCCCCCCCAACAGCTCACTCACAGCCCACAGCCCAGGAGCTCCCAAGCACGTCGCCTGGGAAACGCATCACAGGCGGCTGCGAGTTCGCCCTGTAATTACCCGAGGACTGGGCACACAGAGCAGGCGGAGGGGTGGGTGGTCTCCCCCCGCCAG